TCCCTTCATCTCTATAAAACCAAACGCGTCCCCGAAATTTTTCGCGCATAATGAGCTATTAAGCCATTTTAGTCGCTCTCGCCGCAGAGAGAGCAGATGCCCTTCCTTTTCCTTTCGGTATATGCGCCGCTATTATACCTTTTTAAAGACACATTCACGTCCACTCGAGTGTTAATAAGACTCGCGCCATCATCTCGACCCTAAATGGCTATCAAGTCACACGGAGAGAGGCGAAATCCGAAGGGAGGTCTCCGGGAACTGCAGCCCTATACACTGATTTTTTAGCACTTGATTTTCACCAAGCTAAATTTTCATTTCAAAAATTTTCCGAAAATGAAATTTATTAAAAAAAATTCTATAATTGCCAAAATGAAGCTTAAAAAAAACTATCCTTGAATTATTTAAACGTAAATTTTTTTTAATTAATTGTAAATTATTGTTTTTATTGTTAACAGTTTTCATATCGACCAAAAATTTTACATCATTGCAAAGGATCAGACAAATGTAGTATTTTTTAATTCATTAATTATTTAATAATATTAATAACTATAAATTCAATAAAATAATATTTTATCAAATTTTTTATTCCCGATAATTTTCTGCATATTTTTGTACGCTTATTGTGGATTATGGTGTTTTTAGTTTTCACTGGCAGCGAAAAAATATTGCAATAACATTAAGTGGTCAGCTTAAGGAGGCATCGCAGGCCATTAATGTGCGGGATTACGAGGCTAGCTGCGGGGGAGAGAAACCGCCAAATAATAATCTCCAGAGTATTACACGCCTCGCGCATATTTACCCTGCGAGGAGAAAAAAAATATTACACCGCGCGTTATTTTTCTCCTGCTCGCGGCCCAAGTGCGTTATAATCGCGGTTTTTTTATTGGGGAGAAAGTAATAATATCCGAAAAAGAGATTTTCCGCCGGCTGGTCCGAGACCACTTATTATTTTTCTGAATGCGAATTTTTTCCATTCTTTTATTAGACTGCCTGTGTTTCGAGGCGAGAATAATTATTTTTGCAAAGCGCGGGCCACATGGGGGAAGACTTGATCGAGGCTTAGGAGGGGATTTTTTTCTCCAAAAAATCCTCTATTAAATTATATATTTGTGATCGTCATGTAAATCTGATTAAAAATTTAGCATTTTTCATTATAAGATACCAAAATTGAAAGTGAGTTATATTTTTAAATTCAATTTTGTCTCGATCAGAGTAGAAGAAATAAAAATATAAAAATTAATTTGATTTATAATAATGTTTATTTTCAATATAGTTACAATCTATTTTTTTTCATTTTGTTTTTGAAAAACAAATAGATTGAATCTTGGCCAAATTCGGCACCACCACTTGTAGGAATCTCTGAGGCGTTAAAATCTAATATTTCAAGAGCAAGCTGTAAAATTTTAATCATACCTGTAAGATTTTTAATTTAATCTACTATATTTATCACAATTTTAAATAAGGTATTGAAATTTTCCTAGTATTTATAATTTCTATCGAAATGGAAAGTTCTAATTTAAATTTTTGTTACTTGCGGTAAAAATCAATTTATATTATTTAAATTTTTACAATAAAAACGTTTGTTCATATAAACGGTTGATAATTTGGTGTAGGATAAAATTCAAATCTGCGTGATGTGAATAAAAAAAGTCCGTGCAGACAAGGACAAAAAGCGTCCAACAAACACAGCAGTGCCACAAAAATATTAATCTCTTTGCCGCGAGCCGCCACACAAAAAGGGCCAAATGAGTTTTCCCAATTAAAATCTGTCTCATCACACACACACTGGCAAAAAAAAAAAAACCACCGAGAGTTGCATACACGGTCTGGCGGTGTATGGAAATAATAATATTCGCTAGTATACGAGTGCGGCGCGCACGTTCTTTATTGACAACATGACATACCGACGCTCACTCGGAATACAGATGACAAAAAAATTTCCATGCCAGCAGAAGAGTTATGATTAAGTTCCATTCGCGGTCCATCGTGCGCCGCCCCCTGGAAAAAAAAACACCCCCTCTTCAATTTCTGCATGCCCGTCGCTCTCGTCCACACCAGATTAAAAATATCAATTAAGGCACATTTTTAATATTTATTTTAAGTTGTCAAAATTGTGTCGGTTCATTGAATGCAGCTGTCTGTCAGACGCAACGTTAGGGCTGTGGGTGATTTTCCAACCACGCCGAAGAGAAAAAAAATTGAAGCATATTTCTCTTACTCAAACTATGGAAAATGATGTTAAAAATTTATCCAGCACTAGACTTTTTCAAAACTTGATTGTAAACAATGTATTTGTTACAATTGGGTTAATAATAAAAATAATATATACAAGAAAATAAAGAGTCGGTAAAATTTTGATTATTTTAGTTATGAATGTTAACAATGTAAATTATAAAAAAGGTGGCTTTAGGGTTCATGAGAAATTAATTACAGCTGTCAAAAATTGTTTTTTCCCAACACTAAGCAAAACCCCATTGAAGTGCAAAAATTTAAAAAATTGCTCCAATTTCAAACGCAGAAACGACCTCTTTTAAAAAATACAAAACAACAACAACAACGATTTGACATGTTTTGATGATTTATATTTCAACATTTTGAAATTTATCACCTAGCACAGACAGCATCAGGAAGTTGGCATAAATAAAATGTTTTGTTTAAACGCTGCTCGGTTGATTTCCCAAAATATGACGTGGGACGATTTCAATTTCCAGTTGCTCAATTTCCTGTTTTCTCGGGCGGAAATCTGAAAAGTATAAAATGGTGGGCCATCAAAAATTAGAAGATATTCACCAAAATGAGAGCAATCAGAGTGTTGGCCATTGGCGTTTTTCTCTTCGTGGTCAGTACAAAGTTCATAAATATTGTTTCTGCACACAAAAAAGTCTTGAATGGGATAAAGTACTTGAACAATTTAGAATTTACTAAAATTTCCAAAGGTCTAAAATATTTTAACCAACTTTGATTTAAAAGTATAAACTTTTTAAATTAATTAGCGTTGGAAATAGAAAACATACAAATATATAAAATTATGTTATTTTGTGTGGTAAATTGATAAAAATGAAAAATCTTATTCGTTTATAGGTTGCAGTAGCTTTTCCTGCTGGTGAGTACAATTAAAATTGTCTTATTTCCATTAAAAAATGTCTTTAATTCCTATTAATTATTTAAATTTTAAAAAATTAAGCAGATTCATTGGACGACGCAGATGATGACACCGCTGAATTAAAAAGAGTTGGTAATACATCTCAAAGCCAATTTCAGCTTCCAATTTTTACAAACAGAATATTTCAGAGCGATCCCCTGACAGTCCTTGCGATCCTGAAACAGGATGCGGAAATGATGCTGACAATCAACACTCCAGGCAAAAGCGTGCTCAACCTCCAAAGAAAAAGAAGACAAGTAAATTTTTCGTGGGCAATTTTAAAAGATAGTGATACTTTTTTCTTTCAATTTACAGTAAAAAAGGGAAGCACTTCCGTGAAGAACAACGTGCAACCTTTAGGAGGAGGAGTAGAAGAACAAGGTACCGGCAAGGTTGCTGGTAATGAGAAAATACAAAATAAAACCTTGAATTTGCTAATTTACTCTCTCCTAGCTGGAAAATTGGCTGCAGATAAAATTCCCCAAAAAGCAGCGGCGGAACAAAGTGGTGGAGGTGTGGGTTCTGGAGACAAACGTGGAATTTACTAAAAATTTAGTATGAAAAACCTTTACATTTCAATCCGTTAGCTCAATCTGGGAGAAAGGCCATCAAGCCAGTTGAACAAAAAGCTGCAAATTCCGACGGAAATGCACCACCTGCTAAAAATTTAGCCGCAGCGGGTGAGAATAAAAATAATTCTAATTGAATTTTTTCAAGCAATCATTACAGGCGGAGTTGGTTCCGAAGGCACTGGGTCGATCCAAAAAGGTGCAATTGCTGAAACCGCACGAAAAACTCGTGGATTCGTTTTGAGCGAATAAATTTACAACAATTTTGAGCACCCAGTTTTCATTTTTGCATTAAAAAATAAACATTTTTGAAGTTTTACAGCCGATTGTGTAATATTGAATAAATTATTTACCCAAGTATCAAAATGATAAATTATTATACCGGAATTTATTAAAAGGGAAGAAATACTCCACTTTGTAAATATGTTAATATTTGAATTAAAAACATTGGTGGAAATTTTTACAATAACAAAAACCAAAACCAAAACAAAAATAATCAAGTTGTTTGATTATAGAAAATTGTTGATGTGGTAATAAAAATTTTAACTGGGTGAAAATTCCCAAAGTTAATTTTCTTGAAAACCCCACCAATTTTTCTACAATGATTTGTGCTCAGCATCTGTTTCGGTCGATATATTTCAACAGCATTTGAAACAATTTTCAAATTGTATGAGAATATTCATATAAAATAATTTAATAAATTTACTTTTATTCAATTGAAGAATATCTTTTCTTGAAATTTCCAGCGCAAACTTGTTCCTGTTTGCGTATACGAGTTAATAAAAGAAAACATTGATGCTCCACCAATAGGGAGGAAGCGTGACCAATTTTAATTTTATGTCAAATTATTCTGCTGAAAATTAGGTGGCAATTTTTTTAGCAGTGGAGCATCATGAATTTATACAATATTTTTGCATCGAAAAAAAAATTTGGCACAGTAACATTGAAATGATAACTAAAGCGCACTGGCACTTTCACTAATTTATTAAATATAAATAATAATGTAAATCCTCTGCTGCATTAATACATGGATTGCTAATTAATTAAAAATATTGCAAAAAAACTAATGTAGTTGAATTGTTAAAAAAAATGCTCTTCTAGATATTTCCAATGCATAAACATTTTTGTTGAAAAAAAATCATGTGTTTCCATGATTCATATTTTGCAATCTAGAATTGCCAACCAGCACAGACAGCAGGAAGTGGACCAATAAATGTTTAAACGCTGCCTGGTTGATTTCGCAAGCTCTGACGTGGGTCGCTTTCAATTTCCAGTTGCGCATTTTCCAGTTTTCAAGGACGGAGAGCTGAACTGCATAAAAGTAAGCGCCATCAAAAAGTAGAGGACATTCGCCAAAATGAGAGCGATCAGTGTGTTGACCATTGGCGTTTTGCTCTTCGTGGTCAGTATAAATGTTATAAATATTGTGATTTTAGTTAAACAATATCTCGATTAGCATAAAATATATATGTCAAATTAAAAACTTATATCAAAATTCCAAAGGCTTTTAAGTCTGAAATGAAATATTTTTACCAACTTTCATAGAAGTTGGTCAGATTTTTTCAATTTATTGAAGAAATAAAAAATTGTATTAAAATTTTAATGAAAAAAGTAAAGGAAATTTCGCTCCAAACACGTTTTTTTTTTAAATTTTATTCATAATTGTGTGAACGATACATATATTAAAATCTTATTCTAAAATAGGTTGCAGTAGCATTTCCTGCTGGTAAGTGCAATTACAACTTACCATATTTCTACTGATTTTCACTTAATATATTTATCCCGTTTTCAATTGTAATACAAATTTAGCCGATTCGTTTGAAGACGAAGATTCCGAATTAAAAAAAGTTGGTAAGTTATTTCAAAACCAACTTCAGAATCCGATTTTGCCAATAGAATATTCCAGAGCGATCCGCTGACGATCCGTGCGATCCTGAAACAGGATGCGGAAATGATGCTGACAATCAACACTCCAGACAAAAGCGTGCTCAACCTCCAAAGAAAAAGAAGGGCACAGCAAAAGTTTCAGCTCCAGGTAAATTTGTAGAAAATCTGGAATACCTGTTTAATTTTGAGAAATTTAATTCCCGTTAGATAAAAAAGGAAACTCTGCCGCAAAGACAGACGCAAAAGCTTTAAGCGGAGGAGGAGGAGGAGTGGAAGGTGGTGGTACCGGCGGCAAGGTTGCAGCCCTTGCAGGTAAAATAAAAATCATTAACATATCAGGAATTTGCTGATCCACTCCCCTAGCTGCAGATGTGGCTGTTCCCAAAAGGCCCCCAAAAAGTCCATCGAGAGGTACTGAAGGCACCGGTGGAGATGCGGCAAGTACTGAAATTTTAGTTTTTATTTGCTTGAACTAAGCAACGTTCACATTAGAGCTAGAGTTACCTGCCAAGCCCGTCGGTAAGACAGTAAAATCTTAATATTTTTTTTTTATTAAAACTAAATATTGAAACGTTTTGCGAAATTTAATCTAAATTATAGATAAAAAGGAAAACACTCCTGTGAAAACAGACGCGCAACCTTTAAGCGGAGGAGGAGTGGAGGTTCAAGGTACCGGCAAGGTTGCAGGTAATAAAAAAATTGAAAATTTGGAAAGTGCTTATTTTTTCCCCTAGCTGGAAAATTGGCTGCAGATAAAATGCCCCCAAAACCTGAACAGGCGGAAAAGACCGGTGCGGGTGTTGGCACAGGAGGAACGGGTTCTGCAAGTACTGAAATTTAAAAAAAAAATCTTAAACTGAGCAACTGTCACGTTAGAATTTGATTTACCTGCCAAGCCCATCGGTAAGACAGAAAATTTATACCTAAAAATTTATTTAAACTTTTCACATTTCAATTCGTTAGTTAAATCTCACGGGAGACAAGCCATAGACATCAGGCCCAATCAAGAAAGGCCTGGAAATTCCGGCGCACCTGATAAAATTGCAGCTGCGGGGGGTAAAATAAAAATAATCATTGCATTTTGACCAAATTAATTTTGTTCAGTAACGTAACATACAATGCAAATTTCATTACAGGCGGAGTTGGCGGTGAGGGCACTGGCTACGCGGCGATCCAAAAAGGTGCAATTGACAACAATAGCAATGCCGAAGTCGTCCGAAAAACTCGTGGATTCATTTTGAGTGAATAAATTTGTAACCATTTTTATGCACCCCGTTTTTATTTACGCACGAAAGAAAATAAACATCTGTGTGAACTTTTCGAACTGAGTTGTATTGAATTATTTTTTTTCCAGATAGTTTAAATATTGTTAAAAGGCTATAAGAGTAGAGGAAAAATCCTATTTACCATGCCACTTATATAAAGAAGAATATTTTGCAATTTATGTTTTTTTAGTTTACGCATTTTGTTGACCATTTTGCTGAGAAAATGTATTATTTTTAAATATGTTTAATTAAAATTAAACATTCAAATTTTACAAGAAATATTTATTATAATGTATTCCCTTTAATTAAAAAAATTAAATTTCCACCACAAAACTTTTCCCAATTTCATATGTGTTAAAAAAGAAAAAAATAATATAAATTTAAATCATAATAAGAAGAAAATAATTAAAATAATTTAGACATTTATCACGTTTTTTTAACGTTTTTTTAAGCATTTTGAAAAATTAGTTTAATCTAAGATCACTTTTTCCAGTTAAAAAGTTAGCAATAGGAGCTGATTTTCATTTTAATAGTATTTATTAATTTATTCTGATTTATTTATTTAAATAAATAAATAATAGTTGAAATAATCAAATAATTCTTAAATTGCCTATAAATGAGAAATTAATGCTTGAAAATTAACTGAAAAAACAAATTTATTGTGACATTTAGTGAATTAATTATACATTTTTATGTTCAATCTAGAAAATTTTGAATAAGCTCAAAAATATATTGTACGTTGTAAAAAAAATCTATTTTCCAGGCAAAATATTTTCCTGCTTGAGCCAAAAATCGAATCAACTTTCGCTAGTTGACGTCGGTCGCTCGTGCGGATTTTCGATTCGGCCCCGTCAACCACTTTGGCTAATAAATCTCGCTCGCTCACCCAGGTTGATCCACTCTCTCCAACTCAATTTGAGGGGTCGTCGGCTGTCAACGCGCGGCGGCCAAAAACAATCAAAACAGCTCCGACCCGAAAATGAGTGAACGACAGGCGGTTGGTTATTTATCAAAAAACGGAACCCCTGCTTTCCCTCTTTCTCCCTGCTTAATGCAAAACACACACAACAAGCGAAAGGCCGCCCGTCAAATTGTCAATCCGAAAAAGCAAACTAAAGAGCGGCGATCTCTTTGCGCGTGAAATTAATTTCGGGACACAAAACAACGCTCGCTTCTCTCGGTTAATTAAAAACGCGTCCATCTTGCGCTATAGCGTTCTGCGCATAACAAAAACTTTCCGCCGGCTGACGAAATATTGTTCGGAGCGTGACAAGGAAATTTTAGCAGTAACTTTTTAAGTCTAAGTTTTAAAAAAAAATGAATTCAAATTGAATAATTAGAAATTTGGAATATTTAAAAAAAAATCTTTTATACGAAACTTCAATTATGTATAAAATCTTCATAATTCTGAAGTTCAATTTTAATACTTGCGAAATTTATTTCATATCTCGAATCGACATGACAGGGACAGTTTTAAGAGCTTTATGATGTTAATTTTAAATTCGTGGATGCCACGTTTCCCACGCGCTCTCGTACAGATGACGACTCGAAAAAGCGATGAATTAATGGCTTTTCAGACGCTTGTTGTTAATACTTCAAACCGATGTGTAAAAAGCGAGTTTTTCTTCGCTAAACAAACTCGCTGTCAGAATCGTGGAAGGCGAAGCATCAGAAATCCATTACGCGGTCCCGCATTTAAGTAAACAGGTATTTTGTTTCTTGATAAACACGCCGGCTCCTCGAGAGAGAGGCGGCCCCTGTTTACAAGACTAATGCATCCAAAATAGATGTCAGATCGAGATGAATACCAGAGTGGGAGAGTGAAAATTACTCAAAAAATGAGCCCATTGCTGAGGCATCATTTAACATATTCCATAATTTTAATAAATAATTATATTAATTGTGAAGAGAAATGGATGTTTTTGGTTTTCGCCAGTTTTTGCAAATTTACCACTCAGCTTTATAGAACAACGTTTGTTTGAGATGATCATAAATATAAATTGACAACTTAATGATTTAATTAATTTGACAGATGAACATAAAATTCAGCAAAACGAAAGAGCTTGCGAGATCAATTTTTGAATTCCAATAATCTTATTTCTTAACTGCTGTGTTTTATGCAATTAATAGAATTTTTATCAATTACTTTCAAAGAATTGATACAAGGCACAAGTAGCTGTAAATAATAAGTTGCCAGTTATGAAAAAAAATTAATCATCAACTAATACAATATACATAAAAAATAATATAATATAATATTGTTAAAATAACATTTATATAAAAATATGTATATAAATGATGCTTTTATTATTTATATAAATGTTGGCTAAGTTTAACTTTAAAACATTCTATTTAAATAAATATTAAGCTTACTTAACTAACGTAAGTGTGTGATGATAATCAACTTTATTTAAAATTAGAAAATAAAAGAATTAATTTAATGGTAAAACTTTGATTATTTATTAATTAAAACTGAATAGTTTCTTGTTTCGTTTTTTTTTTCACCTTTTTTCATGTAACATTGGTTTGGCCAAGTCGGAAAGTGGCAGACGAGTCTGCTGCGGAGCAAATTACGACTTGAGAGGGAGGGTGGCGGCGGCGGCGTGCGCGCGTTTATGGTGTTGTGCCGGTTGTATACGTGCTGGTGCAACACAACAGCGGGCCCATTCAAGAGGCTGGCAACCGGCAACACACACACCCTGCGCACTGACAAACACGTCGGCCGAGCGCAACATGCGTTGGGGCAGGTCGCGGGCACAACAAAACACACCACTATGGCAAAACACGCCTCGCCGGCTGACGCATTGAAACGGGGGATGAGCACCATTGAGCGGTCGGTGCATGGATGGGCACCACCACAACCCACCCCCGCACAGCAAAAACGTGTACCGCCGTGTCCATTCATTCCCATTCAAACTGATAAAAAGAGTGGGAATTATTTTATGCAAAAATTTCAATATGAAAATTCAATGTTTGATTCAATTAGAATAAAAAATTTGGAATGCGTTTTTTTTTTTTGAAGTAAATGCATGATTTAAAATATCACGTAATGATAAAATCTGTAATTAAAAAGAATGTTTATTACATACTTTTTATATTTAGAAGAAAATTTGTCACAGAATTTGTTTCAAATGATCAATTTTGTAAATATTTTGTAGTTCGTTTTATTCGTCCAATTGCAACAGTCTCATTGTTTAAATAATATTCAATTGTTCAAAATTAAAGTATTCATGAAAATAAGAAAAAATTTACTTTAATAGATGAGAATGGAATAAACCTTCATAATTAATGCATTATTAAGGATTTTGATTTTAAACCTGCTTGGTTATTCAACTTATGAAGTTTTATTAAAATTTTCACACATTTTTTTACTGGCCTTGTTACCTTTGAAGTTTTTGTAAAATAAAATTGATCTCTCTCCAAATTCTCTAAAATCAAATACCTTATTTAGATTTAACCAAAACGTAAAAATCTAAGCAATTAATATGTGAACTGTATGGAATGTCAAAAATTCCAGAATTAAAAAAATTATCATTTTCCATTCCCAATAATAATTCTACTAATTATCTCTAACTTTTTCTAGGTTTATTAACTTTTGACAAGTTGAAGTAGATGAAAATTTGCAACTATACATTCTTATCGGGCAAATTCAATTTCCAGACTTGCACCTTTCAAGTCCGAACGGTTTTGCATTTCCAGTAGAGTTTGCTTTCGTTTACGCACGGGAGAGCGGTGGGTGCGAAACGCGATCGACCGCTCTTCGCTTTCTCTCTCTCGCACTCTGCATGTATGTATTTACGAGATAGGAAAGCGACCAGTCATTTGTCATGCAAAGGGGATGATGGCGCACAGAGAAAACAGCCGCCGAGGCAGGATATAGGCTTTGGCAAACCCCCATGCTCTCTCACTTTGGTATATTTTCCTCGGCAAAACACTGAAATTCCACCGATTAGATTCGTAATTTGCCGCCGCGTGTGTGACGAGAAGAAAAAGAGAGAGGGTTGTTTCAGCAGCAGGACCCCCATAGCATTATTTAAATAGGGTGTGTGTATTGGGATGAATTTAGTTTTATACACGCGGAGAAGAGACGGACCACTTTTTGCGGCACCCTTTCGTTGTTGGACGACAGCCAGATCGCCGTGAGAGTTATTGTGATCTGCGAGAGGGATTTCTTTCCGGCCAAAAACACAGACAGTATCAAATACATACATTTGGGTTTCAAATTCAAAGCTTACCGTGAGCTTGGAAAGAATAAAGATAACGGACGGAGCTGGATCAGATCTTACCTGAAACATAAAAGGGAATAAATAGGTTAGAGCGATTTAAATAATGTAGAATAAGAAATTGTTTCACTTTTCATTAATTTTTAATTAAATTTTTAAGAAATAAAATTAAAAACGGTGTTAATTTCCTTATCAAAACTTTAATATTCTAAAACTGAGAAAAGTTGATTCCGATGCAAAATAATGTTTTTTAAGAGCAGTAAAAATATTAGTTTTTATGCCAAAAGGAATGAAAAAATTAAGAGATATTTATTTAATTGTAATCTTGATTTCTAAAATTTTACTCCCAGTTATGGGAACTTCGTAAAATAAAATGTAAATCTAAAAAGATAGATTGTTTTCAGAATTTAATGAACTTCCTTGAAAATACCGCATAATTTATAATTGAATAAAAATTGAAGAAATTATAGAATCAAACCCGAAGGAAAATGTTCCAAATAAAAGAAAATTCCGCCATAAGTTTTTTTTTTAGGAATAATATATAAGTAGCGTTTAATTTGGATCTCTCGTTGGCCATTCAAAGCACACTTCTCGGCCGTGTGATTGATCGCCGCGTTTAAAAAACGACTTCCTCCACTAACAAGAAAACTTCCTAATTTAACGTGCGCAGACGGCCATTCATTTAAAGACGCTTTTCCTGCTCGCTCGCTGCCCTTTCTTTCCCCATTCGTAGAACGAAACATGCAAAAGAATCATCAAGCCTTAATAGACACCTTGCCTTATCACACGGAAAAGCAAAATACTAATAAAATGCGCTCCCCGTGCTTGCTAACTGCGAGAGCAATAT